TATACTGTCACACAGGGCAGTCATAGGAGACTCTGACAAAGCAAATCAATCAATGTTAAATCAGAAATGAGAATGTAGTAAGGGGGTGAAGAGACGGGAAGAAAATGCATGGGAAAATATTGAAAAGGACAGAGTGATCAAAAACAGCAGGGACATGGGAACATTGGGCGGCACTCTGGGAGCCATTTAGTTTTATGCTCTTATTGTATGATTGAGGAAAATAAAGGTCCTTAGTGGTTAAGTGGCTTTTCAATGCCACGTCAGACTTGTTCCATAGCAGTTGAATTAGGGGAAGATGAATAAGTTGGAAGTTGGTGACAAGGAGAGAAGTTGGAAACTAGAGAGGAGAGTCAGAACCAGAGGGAAATGAGAGACTAAACAGGCGTCTCAGGGTTTTTTGAGTGAATTTTCTTTGTTGCAGTGACGGGAGGTTTGTCTGTTGGTTGCAGAAAGAAGTCAGAATAGAGATATCGTAGGGGTAGGTTTGTTTGGAACAGAAATCAAAGACCATTTTTTCTGAGAGAAGGAAATAACATCTGCAAATGACATGCTGTTTTTGCTACTTCCATTGCTAGCTGTTCTCCCAGGTGGTGGCAATGCAGACGGTAAGAACTCTGACAACTGCCCAGTTGGGTGGATGAAGGTCTGTGTGTGTGTGTTTGTGTGTGTGCACATGTGTGTATGTGTGTGTGCTTTCCCTAGCATATACCTGGAAAGTGAGAATGCCAGGCTGGTTCCATTCTGACTGTCCATGACTCCAAGTCCCCGAGCTCTGAAGAAGGTGGTTGATAAGTCATGGGGCTCTGTAGCAAGCAAACGTCTGCTAAGACCATGATGGATCCCCTTTTCTCCAGATTCTGAGTTCCCCCACTCTGGCCTCTCTCCATTCTCTTTCTCAATTTCTTTCTCCCTATTCTATTTGTTCTTTTGCCACAGGGCTCAAGGAGCCTGTCTCCTTCCATGTCATCCGGATCGCATCCTTTTATAACCATTCCTGGAAACGAAATCTGATCTCAGGTTATCTGGGTGATTTGCAGACCCACACTTCGGACAGAAATTGCAACACCATCATTTGCCTGTGGCCCTGGTCCAGGGGAAACTTCAGCAACGAGGAGTGGAAGGAACTGGAAATGTTATTTCATATACGCTGCGATCGGTTCCTTGAGGAAATGCATAGATACTCCCGTGAATTGCAGTTTGAGTGTGAGTTCAGTTTCCTCCATGAGGAGTGGGGTGGTGGGAGGCAGGGGATGTCTCAATGTTTCTTATTCCTGTAGGAAACAGCCTGACTCTCTTCTGTATCTTGTTCTATTCTTTCCACCATAAAACTGCAATTGGATACTTTTGGGCAAGGGCTCTTATCCAGATCCTAATTCTTCAAACAGTTCTGCTACTTATGAACTCCTCTGTTATTGACTGCAGGGTTATGCATTATTACCTTTTCTTACAGGTATCCTATGGCCACCCTTCTTTCTGCTCTACAACCAGATACCTTCAGCTTTCTCACTTTCTCATTCATTCTCTTCAGCAGTCTCTCTATATATACTCAATTGTAACCCATTGCATTCCATTCAACTTGAGTTATTGTAATCCCAGTTCTCTTACACCAAGTCCTTCCTCACCCACAGCATTCACATCACTTTCTTTGACCAATCTGCCCTCTTCCATACGTTACTAATCTTTCCCTCCACCTACAGCTTCCACCAATTCCTCTTTCTCTGAATCCCTGACCAAACCAAATTTTATTCCATTATGTCAAACCCTGCAAACTTCCCCCTTCTGCTTCTGCAATCTTTGCTTCTACTCCTACAATCTTTTCTTCTACTCATTTCATTTTATCTTTTTTTCTCCCTCTTTCCCGTATTTCGTAACCCCAGATCCTTTTGAGATACAGTGGACAGGAGGCTGTGAACTGCACTCTGGAAAGTTCTCGGGAAGCTTCCTTCGGTTAGCTTATCAAGGATCAGATTTCATGAGCTTCCAGAACAATTCATGGTTGCCATCTCCAGTGGCTGGAAATATAGCCAAGCGTCTCTGCAAAGTGCTCAATCAGAATCAGCATGAAAATGACATAACACACAGTCTCCTCAGTGACACCTGTCCACGATTCCTCTTGGGTCTTCTTGATGCAGGAAAGGCACATCTCCAGAGGCAAGGTCAGTCCTGCACCCTCCCTCCAAGAACTTTTGATTTGAAAATCATACCCTTCCACCATCCCCTTCCAATCTGGAATAAGGAAGAGCCACCCAGAAGTGGGAAAGGCTGGGTGCAGTGGCTCACATCTGGAATCCCAGTGCTTTGGGAAGCTGAGGCTGGAGGACTGCTTAAGGGCAGGAGTCCCAGACCAGCCTAAGCAACATAGTGAGACCCCTATCTCTAAAAAATAAAAATAAGTTATCCAGTCATGGTAGTACACACCTGTAGTCCCAGTTACTTAAGAGGCTGAGGCAGGAGGATTGCTTGAGCCCAAGAGTTTGAGGTTACAGTGTGCTATAATTATAATTATGCCACTGCACTGCAGCATAGTGACAGAGTGAGACCCTGTCTCAAAAAAAAAAAAAAAAGAAAAAAAAAAAAAAAAGAAAAGAGAAATGGGAACGATGTGTCTATTTAAACTTCTAATCTGCTGTGCAGATATGAAACTCCAAGTCTGTATTTGAATATCTTTTCTGTTCTTTGCAGTGAAACCCGAGGCCTGGCTGTCCCGTGGCCTCAGTCCTGGCCCTGGCCGTCTGCAGCTTGTGTGCCATGTCTCAGGATTCTACCCAAAACCTGTGTGGGTGATGTGGATGCGGGGTGAGCAGGAGCAGCAGGGCACTCAGCGAGGGGACATCCTGCCCAGTGCTGACGGGACATGGTATCTCCGAGCAACCCTGGAGGTGGCCGCTGGGGAGGCAGCTGACCTGTCCTGTCGGGTGAAGCACAGCAGTCTAGAGGGCCAGGACATCATCCTCTACTGGGGTGAGAAAGAGCTGGGGCCCAGGCTGGAAATGCCAAGGGGTGGTCCTCAGGCATAGAGGGAGGGCAAGCTGAAAATTTTAGGATTTTAGGGATTATAGCCCCAACATGAATAAAAATAGGTAAGCTAAGAAATGGAAGTGTTCAAAATGAGGGCACTGTAGATGCAGGAGGATGCTGAGGATAAGATGAAGAATCCATCTCTGAGCAGGGATGAGAGAAAAACAAAAAAAGGAAAGAGATTGGTAAGTTGGATACTCAAATGAGAAAAAGAAGCCAAGGGAATGCAGTGAAACAGGGAGTGGTGAGGTAAAATGGGGTGGATTATAACATCCTTGGTGTCTCCCCAAATTCACAGAACATCACAGTTCCATGGGCTTGATCATCTTGGCGGTGATAGTGCCTTTGCTTCTTCTGATAGGTCTTGCGCTTTGGTTCAGGAAACGCTGGTGAGTTCTTTGCATGTGTCTTTCCTACTCTTAGTCCCTACCCCACTTGTCTTCCTATGGTTTTTGTTTCTCTCTCCTCAGTTCTTCTCTCTAGTCCCCTACCCTCTTACTCCTCAATTCTTAGCTCCACCTTATTCAGAGTGACTTCTATCTCTGTTTTCATCCAGTTTCCGTTAAGATACACCATGATCCTCCTTGTCACCCTTCTCCTTTTGGGGTGAGAGACCAGCAGTCCAACAGCTCAGGATACACCTGAACACATCGTGGTGATGACGTCCTCTAACTCTCCTTGTAAAACTTTTGTCATTTTTGCTTGTTTCTGATTAATGATCATTTGTCAATATAAGCTCAATTTAGTTTTGCAGGATTTGTTGTTCTGACCTGGGTTCTGGGACTTTAAAATTCAAATTTTATCTCCAAATGGAATGGGATCCTAGCAATATTCACATGTTCAACTATTAATGGATCATCAGGCTTGTTATAGATGTCCCTTATTCCCGAGGGCCCTCCCTGACTCACAAGTGGGAAACGGACTCTTCCTGGTCTGAACTCCCACCACATTTCAGCCGTACTTTGCTGACTGTACTCCTCACTTCCTCTCCTTCGTTGCAGCTATTTAGGTCCCCCTTTTCCTTCTAATTTTTCTACTCCTTCAATGCAAAGTATGTGTGTTTTTAATATATGCATCCTTGGTGAAGGATCTTTCCTTCATGAAACATGTTCTCAATAAAACTCTGTGTTGAATTTATGCCAAATTTGTAGTCTTTTCTTATTCTTTTCCTTTATCGTGCTTTTGAAGTAGTTGAGACATTTGATACTCTTGTTTAAAAGCCTTCTTGCTTGGAGGAAATTTTACACATTCCTAGTTCTATAGTTTGTTCTCTGAGCTCCAGAGGAGAAACACAATTTTATCTCTTACTACTCCTATCATTCAACTATAGAGAGTTATTCGAGTTAAATTAGTGTTGCAGGTATGCAAGGCAGGATGTATATCTTTACTATTCAGTGGCTCAGGGACAACCAGCAAAGTTCTCACATTGGAGCTTGTTAGAAAGGTAGAATGTGGGCCTCACCTTAGATTTACTGAATTATAATTTGTATTTTGGAAAATCAGCAGGATACTCACAAGTCCACTAAAATTTGTGAGGCACTGATGGTGGTGATGCCTGAGATGTAGTACAAGTGTGTCACTGAAGAGAAAATGATGAAAAAAGGGAACAAGAGATTGCTCCTCAAGATTGAAGTGAGATCAAGGCAAGTAATATCGTACTGCACATTCTTATTATTCACGACAGTTATGTTCTGTGCAGTTGCTGCAAACACTGGATTCATGAGCACTGAGCCATTGTTCCCAGGGAAATACAGGTGTTAGGTTCTTGTGAGCTTTTTCACAACATTTTTGTTAACTGATGAATACATAAGCTTGTTTTATGTGTGTTTCTGTTTAAAGACATCTTATTTTATATATGTATATATTTATAATTAATTCATTACATGTGGTATTTCCATATAATAAAACACGATCTAAGAAGTGTTTAGTGTATTCCTGACCTTGGTTAACATGATCATAAAATTCTTTGGTTTTCAGCCTCACAACATTGCTGTCCACTATACTTAAAAAAAATGGTTGTCATTTCATGAATCCACAAATGTAGCTGTTTTCCCATAGCTTCAGCACAGCATTATAGATGTTACTTTCCCAAGCAACCTCACCTGCAGATGGGTGAATTTCCTCCCCCTTTTCCTGCATGTACGGCACTGTTGATTTATTAACATTGAATTCATAGTCAACAACCATGTAACTATAACAAAGCTTATCTAACACACACATTTTTCCCTGTAAGGCATGTCACAGCCTTCTTATGCTTAGGAAAATGAGACAACACTTAAGCATTACACTTGGGAGACATTTAAGATTGTGAAATCACCAACTAAAAACACAAAAATGTGAAAAAGTTGGCACTATATAGACTACAAAAAGGACGCTTGTTTACTGTGTGAGAGCTGGAACATGAAGACAGAG